ATGCGGATGAGAGGGGGGGCTGTGGGCTGGCGTTTGCTGCAGGAGGGGCCGAGGGCGGGGCTGCTGGGTTGGTGCAGGGAAAACCCGATGGATGCGCGATGCAACGCGTGGGTGTGCAGCCGGGGTACGCTTCGGGGCAGGCAAGAGTACGAAGACACCAACACGGGCCCAACCACGCCGCAACGAACCCCCGCCGCAGCCGCCGGGCGTCCCCGGACCCCGCCCCTTCCGAAGGGCCCCCGGCAGCGCTCACCGTCCGAGGCGGCCCATCACCACGGGGTTCTTGCCCTCCGCGTGCGCCGCCAGCCGCACCTCCGCCCCCAGGCCCTCCAGGAGCCGCGCCAGATACTTGGCACCCCTGAGGCACTCATCACGGAGCTTCTGCGCTCGTTCACGCGGAATACACACATGGAGGTAAGCAAGTGGGTCGTGGCCATCAAGGGGAAGGTGGCACATGCACACGCAGGAGGGGGGCGCCCCGGCAGGCAGGCGGGTGTGTGCGAGAGGCGGAGGCGGGTGGTGCGGTGTGTGTGAGGCGGGGGCATGCCCCGGCCGGCGCCGGGCGGCGAATAGTCGACAGGACGAGGCTTGGGGGCCGGGGCGAGCTCGCGATGCGCGCGCGTGGGTGTATGCTTTTGGCGGCCGCGACCGGCGCCTAATTGATGATGCCCGACCTTCCGCATGTCTGATTCGGGGCGAGCGTGGAACAAAATCGGCAAAAAGCAGTGCGCGAAAAAGCATCGCCCCGTGTCGCTTACGCCCACCTGCGACGAGCTGACTGTGCGGATCGCCACCAGCTCCCGCAGCGCCCTGACCAAGTGCTGGTCCATGCTGCCGCACGCGCAGCAGCCGCACTGCGCTGATGCGGCCGCCGCCAGGCACGCGCCGCCGCCGCCGTCCGGCGCCGCCTCCGCCGCCGTGAGGCTGCCCGCCCGCAGCCGCGCGCACGCCGTGCCCGCCGCCTGCTGGTGCTGCTGCTGCTGCTGCTGCGTCTGGAGCAGCTGCGCGACGGCTTCCGCGGCCGCGCTGCCCGAGCGTCCGCCGAACGCGGGGCCCGCGCCCGCGGCGGCCGCGAGCGCCGCCTGCGTCAGCAGGCTCCCGAGCTGCTCCCCGCCGGCGGAAATCCGCGGCGACAGCGGCGGGCTCGCGCCGAGCAGCGCGGCGGCGCCGCCCGCGGACGCGGTCACGAAGTTGCGGAGGTCGCTGCCGCCGACCATGGAGAGGGCGCTCTCGAGCTGCCCCCCCGACGGCGGCGTGAACGGCAACGCGCGGCCCATCGCGTCCGCGGCAGCGCTACACAGGTCGCCGACGTGCCACAGCCGCACCGCGCCGTCCGCAAACCCCGCGGCCACGACGCCGCGCGCCATCGCGACGCACATCGCGGCCGGATGGCCGGCCGCGCCGTCGGGCGCGCCGCCGGGCCCCGCCGCCGCGCGCGGGCTCAGCAGGCTCGGCGCCGCGCCGGGCGGCGCGCCGGGGGCGACGTAGCCAGCGCCGCCCGCGTTTTGGGCGCCGCCGTCGACAAAGAAACCGACCTGCGTCTGCTGCGGGCTCTGGTGGGCCCGGAGAAACGGCGGCTCGGGCACTGGCACGCCCCCGCCGGCGACGCGCGACGCGTGGGAGCCTCCGAAACTGAAGTCGTCGCCGGAAAAGTCGAAACTCGAGAAGCTGCTGTGGCCGATGCGCAGCGGGGCCATGGAGGGCCGCCGGAGCGCCGGGTTGGCGCCGGGCTGGTGCTGCTGCGGGTGACGCGGCGGCGGCGCCGGCGGCGCGGGGGGCGCCGCGGCCGACGCCGACGCCGATGCGGCCGCGGCGGCGCTCGGCGAGGCCAGCGGCTGCTGCTGCTGCTGCTGCTGCTGGGCGGCCGCGGATGCCAAGAGGGCGGGTTGCGTATAGGCGGGCTGCGGCAAAGAGTAGTGCTGCTGCTGCTGCTGCTGCTGCTGCTGCTGCTGCTGCTGCTGCTGCTGCTGCTGGTGCAGGGGGTGTCCGCCCGATCCAAAGCGCGAGAGCGGTGGTGACATCACCAGCACCCGCAGGCACGTCCAGTCCGGCGCGCACCACACCCGGACTGTCCCGTCCCCGCTCGCGCTCGCGACCAGCGCCGCCGCCATCGCGCCCCCGCCGCCGCCGCCGCCGCAGGCGCTCGTGCGGGGGCTGGCGATGCCCAGCGGTGCGGCGCCGGGCGCGGCGCGGGGGCGGCGGCGGAGGCCGAGGGCTGATAGGGAAGTGACGTCATCTTTGTGGCCCAGCAGGGTGCGGCGGCACATCATGTCCATCTCCATGTCCCACACCCTGGTTCGATGGGGCAAAGGGGGATGGAAATGTGTCTGTGTGTGTATGTGTGTGTGTGTGTGAATGGGCATGTGGATATGTGTGTGTGTCCTTGTGTGGTGTGTGTGTGTGTGTGCGTGTGGTGTTGGTGTGTTTATCTATGTCTAAACATGTGTGTGTGTGTGCGTGTGTGTGTGTGTGCGTGTGTGTGCGTGTGTGTGTGTGTGTGTGTGTGCGTGCATGTGTGCGCGTGCGAGTGTGCGTGTGCGTAGGTGTGTCATGCGCGCGCAAGCAAGATGGCGCCCACCTGATGGCGTTGTCTCTCGCGCCGCTGAGCAGCAGGTGTCCCAGCGACAGCAGCGACAGAACGCTGCCCCTGTGGCCGCGCAGCACGCGCACCAGGGACAGGTCAGACACCTGCCACACGCGCACCATGGCGTCACCGCCTGATGGTGTTTGAGGGTGGGGTTGAGGAGCGCGGCGTCGGCGGTTTTGGTGTGGGGTTGTCAGATAACGAGTGCTCAAGTGGTCTGGCGCTGGCGGGTTGTGCTGTGTGTGCGCTCGCGTGCTGGAACGGGCGCGATCCATGGGCTGTACAGCAGGCGTGAGGCCTCTACAGGCTTCTGGGAGTAGGGGCACGGTGTGGCTTCATCAAGTCTACTGCGGCAAGCTTGACTCAACCTGATATCTGGGGGCTGCACAGCGCCAGTAGCTCTAAGAGAGCAGCAGGCCAAGGCGCGCCACCCAGGCCCGTCGAGGCCCCGGGCCACCCCCACCTGCGCTGCAGATATAGTCGCCGCACATCACCAGACTGTTGACCGGTCCAACATGACCAAAGGCCGTGTCGGTCACCGCATCTGGCACGCGCTCCACCAGGCCCCCTCCGCCGCCGCCGCCCCC